GTGAGATTCTATTCAGAATAATAGAAATGATGAATCTTAATTTTTCGCTTTTAAAAATGTTACCCGTTAAAATTATTTAACTAGAAAACAATTTTCCATTTTTATTGTTTTTCTTGATAGAAATACTTAAAAGAGGAATTTTATAACTTTATGAGTTTTTTTTTTTTTTTTAAGCCGTAGCCATTTATTATTCAGCAAACAGTAGGAGGACCAGAGGAGAGGCCCAGCCTCAACACCCTCCCATTATTGCCATGGATTGCTTCCCCAGCCTCGAGGGCCTAGAGGCGCTTGGCCTAGGGGGCGGGTGGACCCAGCCCTGACTGCTGGGATGGAGCAGAGTGCAGATGGCCCTGGCCATAGCACCAACTCATGAACCCCGACCCCAGGCCTGTCTACCGAGGGCCAGCAGAGCCCCTCTTGGAGCCAGGCCGATGACTCTGGGCTGCTGGGTCCAGCTCCAGACAGGCTGGACTCTTGAGTTCTGGACCCCAGGCTGGCTGGACCCTGGGATCCCGATTCCAGGTTCCAAGTGGGGTGGACTTAAGTCCCAGACTCTGGGCTAGGCCTGGGGTCTTCAGGGATGCAGCAGGTAGCTACCTTCACGGCTGAGCTGGGCCGGGGGTGCCTTCTTGGGCCAGGGGCCAGGGCTGGAGTTGGGACTGGATTTGGAGAGGGAGTCGATGTTGGCAGAGTGGGAGTGGCAGGCCCAGCAGAGAATGACCTAGAGCAGCAGCAGCAAGAAGCCTAGGAGGCTGTTGCAGATGATGGCAGTGAGGGCCCCCTGGGAGATGGCTGCCCCCATGCCAAGATGGGCAGCACCCTCAGACAGGCACAGACTGAGAAGCTGCCTCAATGGCAAGGCCCATGTTGAGGCGGGACTCTGGTATAGTCGGCCTTCCAAGGAGGCTGTCCTGTCCACACACTCAATGATTCCCGGGCAGTGAAGATGTTCACCTGCAGTTCCGAGCCTAAGTTGAGCCGGGTGGTAGGTTCCCAGGCAGCGGGATCTGGGCGGGGCTTCCAAGGAGGCTGTCCTGTCCACACACTCAATGATTCCCGGGCAGTGAAGATGTTCACCTGCAGTTCCGAGCCTAAGTTGAGCCGGGGGGTAGGTTCCCAGGCAGCGGGATGCTGGGCGGGGCTGCTGCTCGGGAGCCTGCGGGTGGGGGGCGGGGCAGTGGGAGGCGGGCAGGGGTGATGTCCCCTCCCCCCGGCCCTCCCCGTGGCCGCTTCCGGGGCGCAGCATTATTTTTTTATTATAGTTTTTCTGAATCCCTATTCTTCTATCACAGTAGACTTTGTAAGTTCAGTGGTCATACACTTGACTATATGATACTTGGCCACATCCAAAGTATTTGATTTCTTTTTTTCCCAGATAAACTTATTTTAAATGTAATTCTTAAATTTCTTGAGTGGAAAAAAATTGCAAACGTGCTAGATTTAAGTATTAAACAATGTATATTGATAACCAGATTTTCTTTTATTTTGGAAAGATGAGTAAGTAGGTGCTTTTTACTGTTTAGATTATAGTAATAATAGTATTTCTAACTTTGGTAATCTTTGATGCAGTTATTAGCTTTCTATTACAAGAGACAGCATTTCTTTATCTCCCTCCTCCTCTTTCCTCCCTTCTTCCTTTCTCCTTCCCCCCGTTTTTGCTAGAATTATAAATAATCAGGGTATATTCTGTATTTTATACATTTTACATACTTAACCAATATTGAATTTCCTTGAAAATTTGATAATCTCCAGATAGTTTTCACATTTGAGTCCTGAAGATTGTATTGCCTATTCTTATTTAATGACCACTCTAGTTCCTTTTAAATAAGTCTTAAATAGTATGTACTACATTTGAGTGCTGAATCATTGTAGTTGTCATATGTTTTTGCTCTTAGGAAGATACCCACTGGGTTTGTAGTAGAAACAAAGACAACCCATCTGTTATTTCTTCCACCTCAGTTTTCTCTCCACCCTCTCATCCCCTATAAAATAATTCTTTGCTGGCTAGATAGCCTTTTTCTCTTCCTTAAGTTGATAGAAATTTAAACCTTTGAGCTGTACTCAGAAAATCAGAACACCTTGCCTGGTGCCCTCTTGTGGCCTGGGAAAAGGGGGTGGGAGTGTTGTAGCTCTCCTAAATAGGCTTGGGAAAAGGGCAGGTCTGTGTAGCCCACTCCAACTTCCCTCTAGGACAGCCTTTGGGACTACAGAATTGAGTACATCCTCCGTAGTAGGAGAGCAAGTGTTAAGATTTATTCTAGGCACAGAGAGCTGACAGAGAAATGGTCAGAGTACATTTTAAGTACAAGAAAGGGGAGGGTACTTATCAGACTTTGCAGAAATGGAATTGCTTATTACTACTTGGCCTAGCAGGAACTCAGACTTATCAGTTCTCTGCGAGGTATCACTCATTAGCCTCTGTGGTGTTAGAAATGGGTAGCTGCAACCCTTTTTCTTAAAAAATATTGATATTGCCCCATGTACTGGAAATTTAAACCAGTTAAAATAGTTTCTATTTGCATATACATAGACATTATTGATTACAGATACTTTTATTTCAAATAAGATACGAAATGGAGTTAAAGAATTCACTTACATAATTCTGTTATTAGTTTTTATGGATAAGACTGTTTTTTAACTTGGTCCCCCCAATTTTCTAATATTTTGCTTTCCAACAGGAAGTCATTAGTAGAGTGAACAACTCTTTTAGGCTTGCAGAAGTGACTTAAGCTGTGTTTTTCCTCCCTCTCTTCAACAAAACTGATTCAAGCTTCAGGGAAGAACACTGGATTTAATACTGTATGGTAAAACCCCCAATAATCCTGATTGTTTTGCTGCCTTTAACTTTTAGGAGAATGGAAAAAGGTTATACAGAGAAGTTATGTCAGGTTTAATTATAAAGTAATTTCCAGGTTGTGGCCTGTAGTTGTTATACTTCTAGGTTAATCTCCAGTACTTTGTACAGCATTATACAGTGGTCAGTGATGATCATAGTGACCCTTAGGTACTTCCCTGTTCTTCAAAGGATTAAAACATATGTCAGTATACTATATCTCTTAGATACTGTATCTCTTATGTATACTGTATCTCTTAGAAAAGTATACTAATTTTAAAAGTAGCTCTCAGTAACAAAAGTTGAAATCAAAGTGGTTTCCTTTCAGTTAAACAGTATATTAAAATAAGACAGGTATCTTCCTTGGCATTTGATTTCATTGTGGGTTTGTTGCAATTGAATAACATCTTGAGTAGATACTTTTCAAGAGGGGAGACTCCTAGACATTTGAGAGATGTGTCCCATAATAAGATATGAGTTATCGGGTGTCCAGAAGTGGTAGAGTTATTTGTGAAATAACGGGAGGTTAGTGAATTTATAGTTTCTCAATTTTAATGGAGAACAGAGATTGAGATTTTAATCTGTAATCCTAAGTAATAACATATTTACAGAGAGAGAAGAGTATGGCTGACAGATTAGACTCCAGGGTATAAAAGATAGGGTTGGTTTTCATATTTGATTTTGCATAGTCTTATTTTTACTCTGTGGTAGGTAGAAATATTTATATCTTTGGTAGCCTTTTTCCTGAAAACCTAAAAAGGTTTATAAATATGTACAGCAAGCAGTGTGATTTATGGAAAGATTACTAAGACCCAGATTCATGAGAGCTTTCTGTTCTTGTCCCATTTCTACTAATAATAACCTGGGTGATTTTTTAAAATAAATTCCCTAACCTTTGGGGTCTGTTCTCTCATCTGTACAATCAGGTGGTTGAGGTTTGTGATCTGTCAGTTTGGGCCAGATCAAAAATGCTGGGGTTTTCAGATGTGTTGCTTAAACCACAGAACACTGTATCTATTAATGTGTGTCCTCCTCACATGCTTTTTTCCCCTTCATTTGCAATAATAGCCCAGGAAGAACCCAAGTATTTTGCTGAGAGATGGTATTAGGACTTGTGAGAGGGAAGAGTAATACTGGGGAGACTGAAATTTCACAGGAGACCAGCTTGGGTGAGAGGAGAAAACGAACATGGCCCTTGATACTGGGAGAGAGTGGAGGGCCTAATTGCCTTGCTTCATTTTGCTTAGGGCTTAGGTCAGATGAGAAATGAATATGTGTCAACACAAGGCCAGTGAGAGAAGGTTATTACAGTAGGCCTGAGGGTTAGAGAGAACGTCTACTAGATTCAGGCTAAGGGAAAG